ATAATGCTTGGGGGCTGCTCCACTTACAAACGTATTAAGAGAGTTGTGTTGAACAGAGCTTCCCCCCATTTTTGTGTTTTGCGGCAAATTTCCTGGATTTAGCAGTGATGTTCTGTGCAGCTGTGTTTGCAACTAGAGGCCCTGCTCCTGTGGCCCTTTTCCCTCTCTGCCCTCCTGTTGAAGCCCGCAGGACTGAGCCTTAAGCGCTCCCGCTGACCCTTAGGCCTTTCCCTTCCCAGGCGGTGAATGGGGGGAAGCCGCTGTGCCCGGAGCAGGGCAGCCCAGGAGGGGACGTGGCGCCTCGGAAGCCTGGCATTGGCTTGGGGGCCCGGGCAGCCCCTAAAATCGCTGCAGCCAAGCTGGGCACTGTCTGGTCGTTTGCTGTGTGTTCCATCTTTGTGAAGGTCCAAACCACCAAGGTCAGCACAACCAGCTGTGTGAAGCTGTGGAGAGAAATGCAAAATCTGATCTGATCTGAAACAAACTGTGGCCCTCTTCCCGAAACGGGGACAGAGCGAGAAACAGGGAAGGGATGGCTGGTGGCCGTGGTGTGCTGTAGGGGCTGTTGGTTGGATCCAACCAACGTACACAATGTTCAGCATCATATAACGTTTGCTGAGTTGTAGGGAACAAACTTTGCTGTCTTTATGAAAACTTGGTGGATGATGATGCCCGTGGGCGTTATTTCTCTAGAGGAGTTTAATGACCTGCACCAGTAATTGCTTGTCCTAAGGATTCTTTAGGACAGCTCTGATGCAGCACTTAAATCCCTGCAGGCTTGGTGCAACTCAGATTTAGTTACTAGGGAAACTCCTGCACATTCGTAATATAATTTTGAAAATACCTTGGGTGGGTTTTTTTTTTATTATTTTGCAAGTGTTTGAGGTGAGATTTGCACGTAAGCCAGCGTGAAACAGGAAGAACATGTGGTGCTTTGTACATCCCTCTGCCTGGCAGCACCAGTTAATGCTGGTACAATTGTTACACGAATGTAGTCACTGATAGAAAAATGAATGAGTAAACAGAACTGTTTGATTAAAAAAAGAGATAGTGGGTAAATGCAATTTGTGTGCGTTATTTTAAGGAAAGCAAAGGTATTGGTCACGTTACCTCTGCTCAGAAACTAAATCCCTTTTGACCAAATGAGGAGGAGAGCTCTTTTTGCCTCAGTGCGGTATTTGGTGGAAAGAGGAAGAGCCAAGACAGTTACCTTTGGGTTTCATTGAAGTGCTTGTGCTGCCTGGGATCAAATTAAAGTGTGATTTAGGACATGCCCTGATATATTTTCTGACTCAGTCACACATCTGGGTTTTATTTATGTGACTTGTACATACCAGGAGTTGCTCAGAGCTCAGCGAAGAGCTGTGTGTGTCACATGGCTTGTCTGTCACAGGGTTTGAGGGCTCTCCCTTAGGCTGCAGCAAGAAACTTATTTCATCTCCAGTGATGCCAGATGTCAGTTTGCAGAGTGAATAAACCAGTCCCGAGAGTTGGTTTATTGCAAAAATCTCTTTACTTACCCGCCGTGCTCCCGCTTGGCCGCTGTTTACACCCTCTGACAATCCTGCTCACTGTGTCGGAGGCTGCCATTAACACGGGGGGTTATGTCCCCCAGGAGAGTGCATCTTTTTGTCCAACAGTAGCCAACTCAGCGTCTGATGAGTGTGTATCTGTTAACATAACCTCGGTGTAGCTGCAGCTGCACAGGTGTTCTTGGACTGACAGAGCAGGCTCTGAGCCCTTCCTCTTCCAAAGTGTCGTTAGTGCTGGGCAGCTCACCCAGAGGGCACATTTTGCCTCATTGATCCCAAATAGAGTCTGGAGGCTCCTGAGAACACTGTTTGGGTGGGAAGGCAGCAGAACAACTGATTGGGTGGCTGTAACTGGCTTCCTGTTGAAATTGTTCCAGTATTACTTTCTTTCTCTTCTTCCCAACCCCAGGTTTGTGCTCTCTGGCAATCTTCATGGTGGCTCAGTGGTTGCAAGCTATCCCTACGATGACTCTCCCACGCATAAGACCACAGGAGTCTACAGTAAATCAGCTGATGATGAAGTGTTCAAGTATTTGGCAAAAGCTTACGCGTCGCATCACCCTATAATGAGAACTGGGAAACCCAATTGTCCTGACGAGGAGGGCGAGACCTTCCAGGATGGTATCACAAACGGTGCCCAGTGGTACGACGTGGAAGGTGAGCCGTGCCGGTGAATCGCTCTAACTCTGCTAGCTCTAGAGCGTTTTCTAGAAATAGGTTCTTGTTCCTGCCGAGAGCTGACATTGAAACCAGTGGTGATTATCACAGAGGAAAGGACAGTGGGTGAAGTGATATTTTTAGCGTTGAATGTGTTCTAGCGGTGTGAAATGTAGGGAGCTGGCATCACGGGCACACCAGTAAGTGCTTGATGAGTCACAGCTTGGGAGATGTTTGTAGAGAAAAGATCACAACAAATGGGAGAATTCTTCCTGACCCTGTTAGATGCTGGAGAATTATCCTGCATGTGGGAGGCTTCGTTTGGCAAATGAACTGAAGCAAGTCTCTAGATGGTTGCTAAATTTTGATGCAAGAAAGAGGAAACTTGTTAAAGGTATTAAATCAATGCCAGTATTCTGTGAGGGTTTTTGAACTCCACTTCTGTTTGTGGGTTTTTTTACTCCAAACTTGTAGTTTTTAAAATGATTGTGGATAGCCTGCTGTACAACTGTGTGCTGCGTCTGAACGGTTCTGCTTTCACTCCTGCTAGGGCTGAGGGATGGTGACAGGAGCGCTGAGCGAGCAGTGACATCGAATGTTGCTTGTCCTTCAGAGCTTACAGCTTAGCAAATTCTAGTAAGATGGTGTCTTTCCAAAACATGGATTTAGGAGCTGACTGCTGTCCTAACCCTGCATCTGCCTTGCTTGGGAAAGAGGGAGAGGGATCCATTTCTCAGCCTGAACACATCGCCTCTGTGCTGGAAGAGGAAGTCTTGATTTCAACGGTGTTTGAATCATTCTGCAGAATTTCACTGGTCGAATAAGATGCCGTGTTCAGATACGATGCGATTTTATCTCTTTCTCTAGCAGCTGTCTCCTTCCCTCCACCCTGCCAAGCACACCAGCCCTGGTGTTTGCTGGCTCAAGGTTCACTTTTTGCTGTGAGAAGCCCAGCAGGAGGAAGGTTTGTGTAATCTGGTGAATTTGCTTACAACAGAACAGGATATCCTGGATATCTGTGCTGCCTCGTTCTGGTGGCCAGCATTATTGCCCAACACCTCATTTGGGAGGTTCGTTACCTGCAGCTCAGAGTTTTTCTGCCCATTACAGAAATGTGGAACTGGTGTGTTCTGAAGGGAGGGTGGCCCTAGAGCTTTGGCTCTGTCTTCTGCTCCTCACAGTGAGCAGTGTTTTTTTGCTGCAAGTTTAACTTCTTCATCCTGCTGCTTGGGCATGAGACATGTGGCTGTGGTGCTGGTGCACGAGCCTTTCGTGCTGCCTTTGCCTTGCCAGTGAGCAGAGCAGAGGGTTCACCTGCTTTCCTTTCACAGGAGACGACGAGGTGTGAACTGCAGACCTCTTCGCTCTGCACTGCGGGTTTATATGATGCCTGAGAGCCTCCAGCCTCTGCAGAAACAAACCCTTTCGCTGTGACAAGCCGCAATCTCGGGCTCAGCCAGTACATCCGTATTTTGAAGTTGTGTGAAGTTACTCTGCCCCTTTGGGGTTTTGGGTGCTAACGTTTAGTCTTAGTAGTGGATGAAGAGCGGGCAAAGAGGGGTCAGTTGTACACCACGTGTGACAGGAGCGGCAAAACCACCACAGTGGCTGCGTCGAGTCATCTGACTCGTTCAGCTCGGTGCCAAGGACTGCTGAGGCTTGTGCTCGCACTAGGAGGCCTTTTCCAGTGATCGCAGAATTTAAATGTGCGGTAGAATGAGGCTGGGGAAATCCCAGTACCCTGCAGGAGCTCCCTGGGCTGGGCTGAGCTCTAGAGAGAAGCAGAGCCCAGGTTCTGTGAGCGGTGCAGGGCACGCGCTTGTGGCCTGTGGATCAGGTTGTGCCGGGAGAGACTGCGGGCTCCAGGTGAACGAGGGCCAGGAAAAACAAAGGAATGAGAACATAATATCTCCACAGGTGGAAATTTTCCTGCCACATTTTATCGTGTGAAATCAAACGTGCTGGAAAGCAAACTGCCACGGGATTCATTGTCCCAGAGTTACGAGTTCAGGTTTATGGTGGTGCCAGACCCCATTAACTCTCATTTGAGTTTGCAAACAACCTCTTACTGTGTCAAAGGAAGGTAGCAAGTACAAACTATTGGAGTAATCGTTAAGGTCAAGTGTGCACAGAGAAAGATGGCTTGCTGCCAGACAGCTGAATTTGGCTGCTTCATTCCAACTGCTGGAGGCTATCTCTGTTGTACATGCTCTTACTCTTCCTTCCTTTTTAACCTCTTGAGGGATTTTAACTACCGAGTGGCTGCTTCAGATCAAGAAAACACATGCAAGTCTGGGCTGGTGTATGGTCCAGGTGATGCTTAAGTCTTATCTATGGGAAGGACACGTTTGCATTTATTATGTAAAGAGCTCAGTTCAGAAACTGAATTCAATGTTAACATTCAACAGGGTGTTCTACAGACCTTGGAAGGTGTCCTTGTTACTTGCAGTCCCTTCCTAAAAATTGTTTTCCTTGCTAAATTGACTCTGTGATGTCCAAGTGTTGGAAGTATTTCTGGTGTCTACCAGAAGGCACATCTTGAGTTGAAGGTGGATTTAGGCTATGTGTGCCCTTACTAGGTTATTTTGACTGTGGTTACAAGCCACACTGAGCTTCCAAACAGCTTTTAGTGGCATCAGAGCAGTTAAAATGAGCGCTGAGAACAGTGGGTGCTCGTGGCATCGCTGTGGTGGTCTCTGTTGCATGGGATGGCAGAGGGCAGTTGCGCAGCGTGAGCTCTGGTAGTAGTTTTCAGCCGTGTCTTTCTGGGATACACGCGATTAGCTGCCCTTAAGTGTTTTCAGAAAACTCCTCTTTCTTGAGGAAAGTATTGGCTTGGTGGTTTGAGGGTCTGATGCCTCTTTTCACACGTAGCATGAGCTGCTGGGCAGTGCTGTGGTGGTCCAGCTCCTGGGAAGACTCTGCCCTCTTCTTTGAGAGCCCCGGGAGGGCTGCGGGGCTGGGCTGGGCTCTGTGCTGCAGCTGCTGGAGCTGGAGGCGCGGACCTTACCTCCTTGGAGTTTTAATGATCACAGACTAATGAACCAAAACATTCCCCTGCTCCTTGGTGCTGTTGCTGGTGCTCACCCGGTCTCACACTATGAGACAATCCATTCTGTCCACAGAGTGAGTAACTTGTGCCACGTATTTAATCACGTCCCTGGCTTGCTTTGTGCCATCTGCTCTCTCTGCAGAGCAGACACAACCGTTTCTCTGCTTTAACTTAACTGCAGGTCTCTTATCTCCTAATGTCTGCTCCAGTGAGAGCCGGAATTAGAGAGGTTTCTGCATAGTCCAGTTTGAAAATAGAATCCTTCCTGGCTGGTCTGGAAGGCTTCTCCTGGCACGTGGTGTTATTTATGGTGTCTGGGTCCACTGGCTTGAGTCTGGAGAGCTGCATTCTCCTGGTGTTGGCTTGGCAGGGAGCAGAGATGTGCTTGTCAGTGTGAACTCTGCAGTGCTTGTGCTGCAGGAGGTCTGGGATCCTTGCCTGAAGTGCAGTCCTGATGCTCAAGGAGTGGGACAGAGCAGGAGAGAGGTTTGTTCTGAGCGTCTTTGTGACCTACCGCCAGCTGGCGACTGACTTGCTCTGATTCTAAGCTGCTCACTTTTGCTTTGCTTTCCTCCCTGGTAAAATAAGTATGATTCCTCATTGGGAGACTGAAGCTTTATGCATTGTGGGCTAAAAGACACCTCGTGATTAAAAAATGCTGGAATAAATGCAGCAAGTTATACCAGATATTACCCAAAGACGTCAGGAGAGTGGAAGCGCTGTAGGGTGACAGTGATTTTTCTGCTGTGCTCCTTGAATGCAGTGCTGTGCTAATGGTGGGCTGTGTACGGGTCTCTCTTTACACCTCCAGATCTTCTGCATAGCCAGGAGAGGCTGTGCAGATGGTGTGTGGAAAAATACATAATTCCATATGCTGTAAAAATAACTGTTCTGCACTGCAGCAGGGCTGTGTGAAGGCCAAATATGTGCAGCGAGTACGATCCAAATCTTCAAGCGTGCGCTGGACTGCTTTGCTCGAAGAGACGGTTTTACCGAAATTGATGTTGCAAGCTTTAATTTAGTTCGTTGGTGCTCTATTATGGGGGAGCATCTGTCCTGAATTTGCTTGAATGACAGATGAGGCACTAAATATGCTTCACGATGGCTGTGGTTTCTGTATGGATGTTTTCAAATGCATTAGCGTCCTGCTATGAACAGATGGTTATAGGCTGGCAAATTGTTTCACTCTGCCTGGCGTTCGCTGGCGAGAGAGCAGCCTGCTGTGGGTTACTGTTCTGAGCCTGAATAAAACTGGGTACGTATCAGAGTTGCAGGCCTTGTTCTTCTAACCTCCTGAACTGAGTTGGAGAGTTTTAAAGTCCTTTAATGCTTCTTGGCACCCTGTGCTGGACAGAAAATCTCTTTCCTGTTTTGATCTCAGCCCGTGCTCAAGCTGCAGTGCTCTTCCTGGTGACAAGTGTCACTTGATTCGTTACAATAAAAGCTTCATGTTCACTTCGCAGCAGGCTCCCAGAAGAATTGAGAGGAACCGGGATGTCTTTGATGTGGTACCGTCCTGCGTATCTTCCCAGGGGTCTGTTCTTCTAAATCCTGCTTCATGCTGCCAGTCCATCTCGGCCTTCCCCGTGTGCAGTGGGGCTATGGAATTCAGAGCAGTGGCCCCTGGCCTTTTGGGGCAGCGAATGCTCACAGTCACCACATTTATTACAAGCCTCCTCTGCTTGGTAAAGTGCTGCTGGTGGCTTTTCCTAACTGTGCACTAACATGGCCTCTGCAAGTGCCAGGTAGTGCGTTTGCATCCTGGTATTGATGTGTTCTGCTGGTTAAATGGGCAGCACCTCGGAGGGTCCCTCACTTGTGAAGGAGCTTGTATATGACGAGGAAACTGCTCAGACAAAGCAAGCGAGGTTTATTAGCATGGCACTAGTGTAGCTTTTTAGTGGGCAAAGCAAAGAGTGGCAGCACAAAGTATGCATTTCTTCTGGACTTGCCTGCTGGGGTCCTGCAGATGATGCTATGACACAGGCTGTCTTCTGCTCTCCTTCCCCCTGAAGTCTGTGTCTGCCTGCTGCAGAGCAGATGTGTAGCTGTTCTGGGACAGGTGGGCTTCTGAGAGCATTTGGCTTCCTCGGCTCATCCAGAGTTGGGTCCAGCTGACGCTGGTGGGGGTCATTCAGTCAGTGCACGGGGGATCTCTGGGCTGAGCGGTCACTGGCACTGCTGTGAGGTTGGGACAGAGCTGTCTAGGAAGTGGTGGCCAGGGCTGTGGCACGCCAATCTGCCTGGATTGTAGCTGAATAAGATTGTGTAACCCAGAAAATACACCCCACACAGTTTTATGCATACTGATGATGTTTTCCCTGCTGACACAACTGCCTGGTTTGGTGGTGGGAACGATCCTCTCATGTGGCTGTGAGATCTGGCTACAGTCATGTGGTTGGGATCTGTCAGAGTGACTCTGAAACCTGTTTCACAGACTTGTGGTGGGTTTGGAATGTCCTTTTTACTATGGGAAGCTCCCAAAAATGTTGAAAGGGCTGAACGTTGGCAATCTTTAGCAACGTGCTGAATTCTGAGCTCCTCACGGTGAGTGGTGATACCTGTGAACCTTAAGTCTTGCCGGTACGTGATTCATTCCTGTTTGAGAAACAGGTTTGCTTGCTGAGGGTTGAACGTAAACTTCAGAAATGGGGTCAGGGCACTTGCTGGAACAAGGTGACCTTTTTCATTTGTCGTTTCTTTGAAGGGCAAGAATACTGAGAAACAGCTCTGTGCACTCCTGTTTTCTGGTGCTCGTGGTGGTTTGGCTGGTTTAATACGAAGCTAGCAAGCTGTCCCCAGGTGCTGCAGCATCCTTAAATTGTTTGAGACTGCTGCCTTGAAGAGGAACTGTGCGAGGAGGCTGGTGACGTGGTTGCAGGGCTCAGGAAGAAGCAAGTTTCACAGGTGGACAAGACTGTGTCCTGTTCTCCTCTTGCAGGACCTGGCTGCTGAGGGGTCGCAGGAGTCCTCAGCGGTGACGGAGGCATCACTGCCCTCCCAGATCGAGAGCAGTTTCCCGAACGTGACTTTGTGCAGTTCACTGCGTGCTGTCGCCGCGCCAGACCTTGTCAGACTTTCTGCTAAGTCTGCTCTAAATATCAAGTAAATAGAGACCTTCAGATAAGAAGTTGGAGGAAAAGAGCAGCTGAGAAGTAGTCGCTTTCATCTAGAGATTGCTAAGATTTTTCTTATGAGAGACAGCTGTGTGAAACTGATTTTGCCATGCAGATCTGAGCTGCCACCTCCCTGATCCATAATCTGGAGTGTTCTTTTATGTCCTGGTCTGAAGCCCACTTCGGGTGGAGTAACTTCTTTTGCAGAATAACCTTACAAATCTAAAGGTGACTTGGCACACGTAGCCAAGGGCTCGGCAGCGCTAATGTTCAAACTCCGGTGTGCCTGCCCTGGTGTCCAGGATTTGAAGTGGCTGGAAAATGTGTGTGCAGTGAAATGAACCCCTGTGCGTTTCCAAGTGCCGTGCTGTCAGGTTCATCAGACAAAGCAGTGAGACCAAAGGGACCGTTAACTTTGAAGTGTCTGCAGCTGACTGGAATGGCGCAGTCTGCTGGTTACTGGGAGTCTCCCTCAGCACAGACTCTCCTGATGATCTGATCAGACTTTTCTCCTTAGGTTGTTCACTCTGGAACGAGAGTGGTCTCATGGTGAGATGCCACGGGGGGCTGAAGGGCAGAGAAAGCTCTGTGGAGAGGTGGTTGTACATTATTCTTAGGACATGTCTTTGCCTCGTTTTCTCAGGCGGGATGCAGGATTACAACTACGTGTGGGCCAACTGCTTTGAGATCACATTGGAGCTATCCTGCTGCAAATACCCGCCGGCCTCCGTACCCGCCAGCCTCCGAGCTTCAGCAGGCGTGGGAGAACAACCGGGACTCTCTGCTTGCTTTCATCGAGAAGGTAGTGTGGGCTGGGGCGGGTGTGGGGGCAGCAGCTGTGAAAGCCATGTGAGAGCACTGTGCTCGGTTGCTTTTGTGGCTTTGTTTGTTGTGTGTAGTGACACAACTGCTGCAGTCGCTGTGCAGAGGTTGGAGGCTACGAAGCCACTGGGTATCTTTGTGGTTCTGCCGCAGTTTCCACCTCCCCCACTATAGCAGAGCCTCCCTCAAAGGAGCCTCATGGAGTTTGGTGTTAAACAGAGGGACCAATCTGTGCAGATCTCACTAAGTAATGCGAAGTACCTGTGTGACCTCAGTGCTGTGAATATCCAGTGATGTTCAAAAGCACCAGCACTGCTGAGACCTTGGCTTGCAGAGTCCTCTGCTGGGCTGTCTCCAGATGCCCCATGTATGTAGGTGAGAATTTAGGCTGGGAATGAAGGCAGCAGCATTTTGTCCCTCGGTATGGCCTGTCACCCTGCTATGTTCATATTCTTGTTGATGAATTAGAGAATTTGCTAGGGAAGAGCAGTTCTGTGATCTTGCTGCCCTCCCAGCCCATGCTGGAATTCCCGTCCTTGCCATCTGCCCAAGCGCTGTCTGAATCGTGGCCTTTGGGTATCTTTTCCTGGCAGCTGTTCTCTCTGCTGTGTTTGGGGAAGGGCAGGAGGGTGCTGCGGGTTGAGGATGCGGTTCCCCTGATAGTACCTGTCTTCAGCCAGGCTTTTGCATTGTTTTCCTCAGGTCCACATTGGTGTGAAGGGCTTTGTGAGGGATGCAGTCACCAAAGCTGGCCTGGAGAACGCAACCATTGTTGTTGCTGGTATTGCTCATAACATCACATCGGGCAAGTTTGGTGATTACCACCGGCTGCTTGTGCCTGGGACCTACAACGTGACCGCGGTTGTAATGGGGTAAGGTCTCTGTGGCAGCCTGCATCACGCTGCCAGCTGCTCCTGTTCCTTCACTTGATGTCTTCCCTCAAAGCATCTTGTCGTGTATTTAAGGGTCTGAGTGCGAACACGTAGCTTGCCCCTAGACTAGCTCTGTGATACGCCTGTGGCTTCTTCCCAGTGGAAGTAAATCTAAACAGGAACTTGTGCCTCTGTGACACAGCAAGGACAGCGGCATAGTTGGATCCAGTGGCAGTGGGACGAGTCCCATGAACTTGTTCACTAATGAATCTCTCGTGTAGTCACTAACATCCTAGTGCATTGGGGTGGAGTAGGCTGGAGTGGTAGAGAGGCTGCAAGGGTTTTCCCCTCTGTTCTACAGAGCCTGCTTGCTGAAGCCAGCTGATTTTATTTTTTCTTCCACAGTTATGCACCAGTGACCAGAGAGAACATTGAGGTGAAGGAGGGAGCTGCAACAGAAGTGGATTTCTCCTTGCAGCCAACTGTAATGCCACCAGCTCCTAACGTCACGCAGTTCACAGCAATGCCTGTTCCTGTCTCTACTGTCACTCCTACCCCTGGGCCAGCAGAAACCCCAAGCCCGACTTCTCTCCATCAACCCATCCAACCCGTGGACTTCCGTCACCATCACTTCTCAGACATGGAGATCTTCTTGCGGCGGTACGCCAACGAGTACCCCAACATAACCAGGCTCTACTCCGTGGGCAAGTCTGTGGAGCTGAGGGAGCTCTATGTGATGGAGATTTCTGACAATCCTGGTGTCCATGAAGCAGGTAACGTGGAAAATCTTTTTTTAGTGAGGCACGGACCCTTTGCTTTGGGAGACCGTGTGGGCAGAGCCAAAAGGAGCATAGGGCTGTCACCTGTCTGAAGAGAGACTGAGATGCTTTGTGCAGTGTCCTTTCTAAAAAGACAGGGTGCAGTGGGTGACACTAGTGTGAGTTAAAGGACATGGCAGGGGACATCTGTACTGGCCATGGGACAGAAGGAAGTCCTTTTTGATGTTGTGGAAACAGAAGGGGGCATTTTATGTAAATGCCCTCCAGCCGTGCAGAAAAGCCTGAGAACGCAGGGCTCAGGGTGGTGAGATGTCTCCAAGCTTTAGTGTAAGTGGTTATAATCATATCTTTGGTGTGGTGTTGTGTATGCAGGCGAGCCGGAGTTCAAGTACATCGGTAACATGCACGGGAATGAAGTTGTGGGGCGAGAGCTTCTCCTGAACCTCATCGAGTACCTCTGCAAGAACTTTGGCACAGATCCTGAAGTGACTGACCTGGTCCAGAGCACACGGATCCACATCATGCCGTCCATGAACCCTGATGGCTATGAGAAGTCCCAGGAAGGTATTGCAGTCTGTACTCAAACACCTGTGGGGTTTCTAGCTCTGAGAACAAGCGTTTGGGTTCATGGTACCTCGCCGAGGAATCTGGAAGCCTTGCTGGAGCAGAAGTGCTCTCTGCGCAGGGAGGCTGGGAAGGGCCTTGCTGCGTGTTGTCGTTTGAGTGGATGGACCCTGCGCTGGGGGATGTGGGCAGCTGGCAGTGCTTGAAGCTGTTGGAGAGAGCTCTTTCACTTCAGCAGTGCTATATGCTGCCCCTGTTTGGGTCCCCTTATGGCTTGTGGCTCTCCCAAGGCTTATTTTTAAAAAAGACATTCCTTTGACATAGCTCATACTTGCTGTGCTTTAGTCCATGCTCTTAGTAACATGTGATGTGGGAGCCAGAGCTCCTGTCCAAGGATAATATAGACTTTTATCGTGATGTTGAAATTGGCAAAAACATCCTTCAGGGAAGTCCTTAAATCAGCGTGGCTCTTGTGGATTGGCAGAACAAAGTCTGTCCATCGTGATTTTTATTTTTTTTTTTTTCTCTGCTTGGGTTTAACAAAGAACTTGTCCAGCTGGTTTGAGAAGGTGAGCTCTGAGGTTTCTGTGGTCGTGACATCCGGCTGCTGGAGTTGTTCGTGGTTCGCTGCCTTTCTGCTGGCCGTGGTCTGGCTGGCACTGAGAGCCTGTGCAAGCACCTGCTGGAAGGGCAGCTCTGCGCACAGAGCAGGCCGGTTGCTCTGGGGGGCAGAAGCCGGCACTATTGTGGTGTCTGCTGTTCTCCATTAATTCACAGTTATACGCTCTGTGGTAAGAGAACAAAGCCTCTGTGCTGAAGTGGGAGCTTGTGTAGGGCGAAAGCTTGAACCTGTGTTTGATTTTTCAGGGGACAGAGGAGGTACCGTTGGCAGAAACAACAGCAACAACTACGACCTGAACCGGAACTTCCCAGATCAGTTCTTCCACGTGACAGACCCTCCGCAGCCAGAAACTCTCGCTGTCATGACCTGGCTCAAGACTTACCCGTTTGTACTCTCGGCAAACCTGCACGGAGGTATGGCAGCCAAACCGAGCGCCTTCCTTTGCACCGAGGTGTGAGGGGTGGGAGTTAGAAGGGATGTCTCTGCTGTGCTCTGGATAGGAACCGAGGAGCTCTCTCAGGGAGCGCTCTGCCCTTGGTGTTGCTGTGAAATGGCAAGAGTGAGGGCAGCCAGGCTTCTGCAACAGGGATAAGGTCATTTACAACGGGCCTATACAAAGAATAACTTATTTGTTCCTGCTGCTGGAAGATGGGTCAGAAGGTGGGAACAGGGTAAAAAATGTGTCCCTGAGCACATTTGTAGGCAGCTGAAGAGACTGCTGGGAGGATCCCAGCCACTTCTCTGAAGGAAGCACATGCGTTGGGGCGTAGCTAGCATGCTGCCGGCTGGGAGATGGGGATGGGCTCCCTCGTCAGCAGTTGCTCAGCAGCTGGCTCTGGGAATGCGATACAACGCTGCGGCTGATGGAGGCTTCATAGTATTTATAAAATGAAGGGAATGAGATATAATCCTTTGGGTTCTCTGCCTTGAATTGCATGGTAGAACTATGAAATTTGCTGTAATTATCTTTTTTTGGAGCGGTCTAAATTAAGTCTCTGTATTACAGCTTATTCCCTAGACGGTTTGTCTGCTGGCTTGTAGCTGTGGTAACTTGCAGGTGGTTGCTTTGTGCTGGCACATTTAATTTTGTGGTGCAGAAGTGCAGAGTGTGGGTATGAGGGAGCTGGCAGCTCCCCAACACCGGTGGTGTCTGGGGTTCCATGGTGCTATTAGTACAGCGTGCTCAGGGAAAGCATCAGCAAGCCAAAGATGTTATAATCTGTCAGTTCTTGCAATAAACTGCAGAGTGCTGAAAAACTACAGCAGTTCTGCCAAGGGCACCATGCATATTCTAGGAAATTGCTCCCCTTGCATTCTCTTATGTGTGAAAATGATGATGACTAGGTTGTGCTCATCCCTCCTGCAGGCCAGACCTTTGATGTGTAGTGGCTTGGGTTCACCTTCCCAACTGGGTATGTTCTTATCTCTTCCTGTGCTTTTGTTGTCTCTTCTAGCCACTGGGCTTAATCCTTTGTTTAATGCCGAGCCTTGAAAAACAGAAGAGTTGGCATTCTTGTTGGAGAAAAATTTAAACTTCCCCTATTAGGCTGAGGGATCACTTAGAAAGTGTGCGAATACGAGTCAAAACTTGTTTCCCCTGCAGGTTCTCTGGTGGTTAATTACCCCTTTGATGATGACGAGCAGGGGATAGCCATATACAGTAAATCCCCAGACGATGCGGTGTTTCAGCAGCTGGCGCTTTCCTACTCCAAGGTAAACTGTGAACAAGAGAATGGGCACATCCTGCTGGGTTAACTCCTGACACTGTTGGGAACTTCCCGAGCTGCTGGTAGAGGAGGGCGCAGCTGCTGTGGGCGCCGGGTGGTGCAGGCACAGCAGGAGGGTCCTGCGAGAAGCTCTCATTCCATGAGTGGATGTCCAGCATGTTCTGTCTGCAGGCACAGGGTCCAACACGCTGAAGGGTGGCAGAAAATGCTCTACATGGGTCAGGAGAAGAGCAGGAACAGCTGTGGGTTGGGGTTGGGTGTGGGTGCAGCCCGTTGTGTGACTGCAGCACAAAACACGTGTCTATGAGAACCTCTGTGTTTGGTAACCCCGAGTGTGTGTGACTCATGTTAGAAGAAAAGGGCTGGTAGTGGCTGAAAAGTGCAGGCTCCGCTTCACGTGTTTTATCTTGTGGGTTTTTTTTAGGAAAACACAAAGATGTATCAGGGAAGCCCTTGTAAGGACATGTACCCCATGGAGTACTTCCCGCACGGCATCACTAATGGGGCTCAGTGGTACAACGTTCCAGGTGAGGCAGACGCTAAGTCTCTTGCACTGTTTCCCTTCAAGTTAATGCATGTGCAGCTTAAAGAATTTAGTCTGATCAGTCTCGAACTCTGCGTTGATCAGCCTGGATTACTGGCACTCTGGTTTCTTTTATAACCTCTTAAATAACGTACCGAGATAAAGTCATTCCGGGGGGAAGGAATTTATAGTGTAGTTTTTCCGGCTATTAGCAAAATGGTTTCATAAAATTTTACAGCAGTATATTAGCGTGAAAGGTATTTACAAGGAGGATGGTTATTTGTCTGCTGTTTTGGTATGGCTTTGAAGCTTGAATCTTGCCCTGTGTAAAAGCCTTCTCTCTTCAGCTATGAAATGCATACTGTAGTTTGTACTTCATCTTGCTTTGCTATCAGACAATTTTTTTTAATTTCTTTTTTTGAGCTGTGGTGCAGTTGCCTTCAGGAGGCCTCGTCAAACCTTTTTTACATTCCTATTGTAGGTGGGATGCAAGACTGGAATTATTTAAATACAAACTGCTTTGAAGTGACCATTGAGTTGGGCTGTGTGAAATACCCAAAAGCTGAGGAGCTGCCGAAGTACTGGGAGCAAAATCGCCGATCTCTCCTCCAGTTCATGAAACAGGTGAGACCTTTTAACCCTGAGCAATTGTATGAGCTGCCTCTGGTGTTCATATTAAACGTGCCAGAATGAAGAGGCTAATCTGCGGGCTGAAGCCTTGAACTTCTTGACCAGGCTGGGTACCTGCCCCCCAGAAATTATTTCCATCAGAACAGGTCGCAGCTCCTTCTCTCCCCTCCTTCTCAACATACCAGAAGTCTGTATGGAAACAGCAGCCAGATGATGAAGGTGTGGGCTTTTAATTTACCGCTGCCTTGGCTTTTCCTAGGCTGGAGTAGCCTTTACATGCTGTTCCCAGCTGAGTCGAGGCCGGCGGTGGTGCTGTGCACCTGGGGCACGCAAACAAAGGTGTGAAGCAAAGAGCGCTCTGGTGGCACCCTGAGCCCAAACAATTGCTCATTTTACTCATCAGGTGGTATTTGTCCACGCCAGCTGCTGGCGAGTCTAACCTAACCTTTTTGGAATGTGTTTCTCCTCTGGGAATGGCTGAACCTCCTGGGCTGGGAACGGGTGGGATGTGGGTGTTGGCGTTTCCGCAGGGTGGAAGGTGGAGCGAGGGCTGGTGCTCAGCAGGGCCTCGGGTCTGTGCGCAGGTTCACCGCGGCGTCTGGGGGTTTGTGCTGGATGCGACGGACGGGAGGGGCATTCTCAACGCCACCATCAGTGTTGCTGACATCAACCACCCGGTGACCACGTACAAGGATGGAGATTACTGGCGCCTCTTGGTCCAGGGGACGTATAAGATCACAGCGTCTGCCCGAGGGTGAGCAAGCCATGACACAAGGAGCAAAGAGCTGCACGATTGAGTTCTTAGTCAGAGTTAGTACCGTTGCCTCTGCCTGCAGCAGATGTAGGCTTGGGTGTTTCTGCTTCCCTCTGGCCTTGCAGAATTAGCAGTGAGATGCTACCCTGATGTCAAAGACAAAATACAAATACAAAATCGTCCCTTGCTTGGAGGTGGTGTGGGGAAGGAGCCGATAACTTAATGCCTTTAGGGGAAGTGCTCTTGCAAGCAGCTGCCCACAAAAATTACCTCATCGCTTCAACCGCTGCCAAAATCTCTGTGTTAAAGCAGCCTGACTTGTCCTGCCAGTCTGTCATGTAACCCTGCAGTACCTGGGCCCTGAGCTGCTCCCCGTCCTGCTGCCATTCCCATGGCCCTTTGTAGTGTTCTTGCTCTTCATTTTCACTCTCCCCGCTTCTGGCTGGGGAGCAGCAGTGGTCCCGTGTGAATGTCTAGTCAGGAAGGAGGGTGGCTTGTTGTGTGAGTTATCAAAAGCCTGAGGTTTCCTTGTGCCTTCTCTTCCCTGGGCAGGTACGATCCAGTCACTAAAACGGTGGAAGTTGGCAGCAAAGGTGGGGTGCAGGTCAACTTCACTCTTTCACGGACAGACATCAAAGTGGAGGAGGGGAAGTTGCCAGTCTTGAACACCCCCGACACCAGCGACCCCAATGAGAAGGAGTTCGAGACCCTGATCAAGGATCTCTCTGCTGAGAACGGGCTGGAGCGCCTCCTGCTCGCCTCCTCGGGGGATGTCTCTCCTTACCGATACCGCCCTTACAAGGACCTCTCCGAGTTCCTCCGAGGCCTCTATCTGAACTACCCACACATCACAAATCTCACCAGGTGAAAACTCAAAGCAGCAGTGCTCACCTCCTCCCTGAGCGGCGCTTGTGTTAGGGAAGCTGACAAATGACAAGCCACGAACACAGAGGTGGAGAGCTCGTCCTTTCACTTCCCTGCGGTCCCCAAGTTCAGGGGAGTCTCATGTGTAAGGGCATGATGGCCAAACATTGGCTGCGGGGACTTGCAGATAAATCCATTTTTAAGTTGTTTTTTTTCCTGAGACATCATTTCACTGACATAAACTTGGGTTGCTGTCAGCTCCGCAGGGGTGCCTGGGACTGGTGATATTCCCAGCACTGGTCTCCCAGGCTTCTGCAAATCCCTCTGTTCTGCATCGTCTCCTCCATTTTCCAAATCCTTTCTGACACCTGCTCTGCTAAAAAGTCTCTGGCAAAAGTGATCAAATTTGACTTGCGAATCTCACGTGCCCTTTTCTGATTGTCTGCATTCATATATTAATTCGATAGCGTGAGACATGTTTGACTTGGCTTGTCCTGAGCCAAAGTCTCTGTCCTCATGCAGGAGCCCAGCTGCTGCGCTCCCCTGCGCTTCTTTGTGACCTGCAGCACTTACCCTCTGTCAGCTTCAGAAAGCACAAATCTCTTTGTCCCGGGACCTCATTTGCTTGTTGTTACCAGGCACAACGTGCTCATGTGCCGTCCCTGCTGGTGCCAAGGCTGCTTTTCTGATCTGTAGCCTCTATTGTGCTTCCAGTTGCATCAGCCCTGATTGTGCTCCCTGCTTTGCTTGCACTCAGTTTGCTAACTTAGTGACATGGCCATAGCAGCTTGTGCTTCCAGTTGCATCAGCCCTGATTGTGTTCCCTGCTTTGCTTGCACTCAGTGTGCTAACTTAGTGACATGGCCATAGCAGTGACTTCTGCATTACTGGGAATAAGCCTGCTTTTGTCCTCTGCACCAGGTGCTTTATAAATTAGTTTGATGTCCAGATATATCCTGTTTCTGAAGGGGAAAAAACAACAAAATGAAAACCACAAAACACCACAACCCAACCCAACTTGAGAAGCACAGAGACATTTAGCCATTCCACATTTATCATGCCATAGGCTATATGAAGATGTATGGAGCATTGGGTGTCCTGTACATCTGGACCTGCGTATATTCTTACACAGATGCTTGTGTTCAGGCTGACGTTCACAATGAATTTTTGTCAGTGCTGCTGCAAATCTTCTGTGATGATGTGGTTGTGTTTCATGTATCACTTGTCTTTGTGCAGCCTCCTCAAAGGGGTTGGCAGCAGTTCTTTTCCACACTGGGATTTCTCCGTCAGGTCAGATTAGAGGTGCAGCTCAGTTCATGACCTGATGCTCCTGTTTCTCATTTCTTGGCAGTTTGGGTCAGAGCGTTGAGTTCCGTCAGATCTGGTCCCTCGAAATCTCCAACAAGCCCAACCAGTCTGAGCCTGAGGAGCCAAAGATCCGCTTTGTTGCTGGTATTCACGGAAACGCTCCTGTTGGTACAGAGCTGCTTCTGGCACTGGCAGAATTTCTTTGCATGAACTACAAGAAGAACGCTGCTGTTACAAAGGTGAGGAACCAATGCACGGGATCATCTTGCAGCCTTCCAGCTATATCCTGAGGAAACAGTGCTCATTGGGAAAGACTTGTCTTATTAACACTGGCTTGGGGCTTGCAGTGATCCCGCACGTAATGGGGAGATATTGTGAGATCTGGGGAGCGAGTGGGAACCTCTAACTGCAGTTTCTAGGGTGAGATACAGGCAAATGAGATGCAAACCCCAGTAATTCTGCTTCATGTACTGTTTCTTCTCCTTTTGTTCAGCTGATTGACCGAACACGGATTGTGATTGTGCCTTCCCTGAATCCAGACGGACGTGAGATAGCGCAGGAGAGAGGCTGCACCTCAAAGATAGGCTGGACTAATGCTCACGGCAAAGATCTGGACACAGACTTCACAAGTAAAGTGAACTAAGGCAAACTGGTGTCCCTGTAGAAACGCAGGCTGCTTAGGAGTCTTCGCTGCTCTAGGGCTGGGTGTGGTTGTTTGGTTACCTGTAGGCAGTGGCACTCCTGCCCTGGAACCCAGGCTGCACAGCTGCCAGAAAGCTTCCAAAGCTTGGTTCCCCCTTACAGATGGTAATTCACAGTCTCTTTTTTGCTGGGAAATGACGAAGCAGAGTTCTTTTGGAATTGTCTGGAAGTTGGACAACACCTAATATACTTTTCCTATTAACTGATTTTTTTAAATTTTTTTTTCCAAACCCCTGATTTCTGAAAGATCCCCTCTGTTCATGCTCCCCAGAAACGGTCTCCTTTTTCTCAGGCTTGTCCTGGGTTCCATGTATGTGCCAGCTGTATCTGTAGCACTGTATCAGTGCTATGCCCACCCTTCCTTGGGACAAAGTGATCTCTCTGTCCAGGTTTGGCTGAGATATCATTCCAAATGCTTCCTTAAGAAAATGCCAGTTTGGTGACATTGAGGAGAGCAAACACACATGAAATACCTCCTGCATCACGAAAGTAAATAGCTTGGGGAAATAGTCACGTGTCACTTTTGTTTAACTTCATGGGTTAATTCCTAACATAGATAGTGTGGACCAGGTGTTCTACTTGCTCTGTTGGGTGGATCTGCTGATACCTAACAAATACCTTTTAATACAAGCAGTGGGCTTAGTGTCAGACCTAAACAAAGAATGTACTTCTGCCAAATAGCAGAGGAAACTTGTCAGTTCCCTTTTCTATTTGTTGTTCTGATTTACAGGCAATTACTCCCGATACTCGGGGACACGAGAGCCTGAGACCAAAGCCATCATAGAGAACTTGATATCAAAGAAGGATTTCAGCCTCTCTGTTGCACTGGATGGAGGATCTCTGCTTGTCACTTACCCATATGATAAGCCAGCAGAGACAGGTAAGACTAACTTCTCCAGGGCCTTGCACACGTGGTTACCCTCAGGCTGTCTCTGCAGAAGTTCATGTGACCACATGATGTAAGAGTTTGTTGCACGGGTGGTGTTCTGTAGCCTCCTTTTGTGTTCAGCCCTTTGTACGTGGAGTTGACAGTGTGTCAAGTAGAGCTATAAAACCTCACAGGATTCAGCTGAAGAGCAGAACACTTACCATTTCTGTTCCTGCCGCAACATTTCAACCTTTCCTCTGCCAAAGCCGGTATAAAGTCTGCTTTTGATACCACCCTTCAGTGTTTCCACCTCAGGACATTTCCTCAATGTCCTCAGAGGAAATCTAAAGTGCCCCTGAAACAATATGTGTCACTTTAATACAGGATCGTGGGCTTAGATTGGGAACCTGCCCCTCCAGTGAACAGGAGTTGCAGTCTCAAGGTCTCATTTTTTCTTTTCGTAGTGGAGAACAAAGAAACACTGAAGCATTTGGCATCTCTTTATGCAAACAACCATCCGCTGATGCATTTTGGCCAGCCAGGCTGTCCAAATAAGTCAGGTACGTTTGATTGAATCCTTTAAACCCTGCATCAGCTTGTGCTAGACTCTGCTCAGAGCACATCTGTCTGACAGCTGTGTTCTTGCTCTCACAGATGAGAATATTCCTGGCGGTGTGATCCGTGGCTCTGAATGGCACAGTCACTTGGGAAGTATGAAGGTACTTTGTCATGGCACAAGGCTTCCCATCTCCGCTAAAAAAGCATTAAAAAGCATATTTAGTCTGATGCCTGGGTGAAACTTCCCTATCTCCAGCTGCACTTTACAAAGCTTTTTAAATGCCGTCTCTTTTGTTGTAACTGTGGTTTTGGTTTTCGCAGGATTACAGCGTTACGTTTGGTCGTTGTCCTGAGATCACTGTTTATACTGGCTGCTGTTACTTCCCGAGTGCAGGACAGCTTCCCAGCCTGTGGGCAGACCACAAGAAATCTCTTCTTAGCATGCTCGTGGAGGTGAGCTGTAGTTCGTGGGAGGAAATTCTGGCAAGGAGGGAAGGTAGTTGGCCGGGTGGGGAGGGGGAGAGAGCAGTAGGGACAGTCTTTATATTTTGTTAGTGCTGGGTGATTACAGACAGTCGTAATTTAGGCTGTGTGAGGAGTGAGCAGAGGCAACAAGTGATTAGAAATGTGTTGACACGAGTTAAAGATCTGTGCTGCGTTGCCTCGTGGTGGGCTGAGTGGTCCTTGTGCACTTTTCTTTATTGTGGGGGTCAGGGATGGCAAATGGGCTGTATTTTGAAGGGAAGATTAAATCCTGTTTTAGTTACCATACGTACCATATGCGTGGATCCGAACATGAAGTGTTTGAAATGTTTTATTTCAGGTTCATAAGGGAGTCCACGGGTTTGTCCAAGACAAGAGCGGCAAGGCAATTTCTGGAGCTCTCATTGTTCTTGATGAAGGTTTGAGGGTCCAAACTAAAGAAGGTGGCTATTTCCATGTGCTCTTGGCTCCAGGTTTGCATAACATCGATGCCAAAGCTGATGGGTACCAGCAGACACACATAAAGGTATGTGACTGTCCGTATTGCAGATCTTCCCCCAACTCTCTGCCCTGTAACGGCATCCCTGTTTGCGCTCTGCTTAGCTGGCTGAGTTAGCTGCTGCTTATGTGCCCAGAGTAGCTGTTTTGTGCCTTGGTGTAACGGCTGGAGAAGAGTTTCTCAGTACAGCAGGGTTGTTTTGGGTTGTTTTGAGCAGTAGCTTTTCTTTCCGTTGCACTTGTTTTTGGCATCTGCCCCATCCTGCCCTGGTCAGCAAATGTCTCTCCTGACTGGACACCCAACAGAGGCACAAGCATTTGAGACAGTCTGAACTCTTGTATCTTTCTGCAGGTCTTTGTCCGTCATGATGCACCCAGCTCCGTGTTCATTGTGTTTGACACAGAAAATAGGATATTTGGTTTGCCAAGGGAGCTGGTTGTAACTGTTGCTGGTAAGGTGACATTTTGAGCTTTACTTTCTGCACCGGTTTGTGCTGACAATGATCTCCCCTTTGCTGAACCCGACAAGTAGCCTGCAGGCTTAAGCTATCTCCTGCTTTCTTTTCTGAACACATGCTTGTCCTTGCGAACTAGTCCAGCAACCCTCGGATCTGGTGATGCTGGGCTAGTGGATGGGAGAGAGGGAGCATTGCAGGGATCTGAAGGGTCTAGAATGGGCTTTGAGATGCCTGGAATAGGGAGAGCCTGTTTGTGCTTAGAGCTGGGCGCTAAGAGACTGTACTTCTTCCCCAAGGTTTCTCTGAGTGCTGTGGTACCAGGTAAGCATTAAGAGATTTTAATTATTTTTTTTTGTTAAGGTAGCAGCTGATGGGGAGGGTAGAGTTTATATCCAGTGGTGCAGAGGAGCTCAGTGGTGCTATCCTAGATTGTGAGCACAGAAAACAAAGTTAGTCAAGTCTTGCTCTGGGAGCATCTGTCTTATATGGTGTGTCTTGGGTGGCCTAGGAGGAAGGAGCAGGGTCACAGTGAAGGAGCAAAGTGGTTGTGAGAAGCCAAGGAGGCTCTCGGGTGGGGGAACATGGTATTAACTTGAGTGTCTCCTCTCTGGCAGCTGCGAGTATGTCTGCTCTGGTCCTCACCGCCTGCATCATCTGGTGTGTCTGCTCAATTAAGTCCAACAGACACAAGGATGGCTTCCACCGCCTCCGGCAGCACCACGATGATTATGAGGACGAAATCCGCATGATGTCCACTGGCTCGAAGAAATCCCTCCTGAGCCATGAATTCCAGGATGAAACAGACACTGAAGAAGAAACATTGTACTCCAGCAAACACTGACATGCCCAGGACAGGAAAGGAGGTTCCCATGGACCAGACCCAGTGGCAGGGCTCGATCCCTGTGGTTCAGTTTTGAAACATTAGCTTGCGGGACCTGTCCTACGCAGGTGTGGGTGGCAGCTCCCAACTTCCCTCTACTATTTGCTCTGTTCCTATGTACGTGCAAATCAGTGGGTGCTGGAGGCTGTGTTTGGCTTAAAGATGTGGGTTGTTACATTTTTTGGGTCAAGATCTGGAGGTTCGTGATGCTGTTTGTTTGAAAGGCAACTTACCAGGGTGCCCAGCAGAGTATGTAGCACTTCCCCAGCATCTCAACACAGTGAGCAGATGGTGGGAAAGTGCCCCAAGATCTGCATGGAGTGGTAGTTACAACACTTCAAAGCAGTTTCGCTACCTGTTTTGATTTCATGTTTCCCACTCTGTTCTTGGGAGAAGCCAGATCCTTTACTTGACTCCACGTTCTGCAGAACAGCCCTTGGAAAAAGACCACATAAAAAGCCCTGGGTTCTCAGCTGCTCCCTTGGAGCTTTTCCCCACCATGAGATGCTGTGGCCTGCTATTGATCTGCAGTGGTTGTGGAGCTCCTCTGATGCGTTGCTAGTTCCAGGCAGTGACTTGACATCCCAAAAGCTGAGGGAGATGACATCTGTTCCTGATGTGAGCTGGAGAAAAGAGCAAATGTCAGAGCTTCAGTGAACTCTGAAGTTTTAGTTGCTTACCAGCTCTGTAGTACTGCTATTCATGACTTCTGGGGAAGAAAACAGACTTTATCCCCATCACCCTTGGTTGCTTTTCGTTTGTGTAGTAGACTTGGCCTTTGGCGTCTCGTGTTAGCATTACAACAGCACGGTGTCTGAATGAGCAGCTGAATGTTGTTCTAAGGACGTGGATAAACTGATCGTGGTGGATGCTGTAGAAAAGCAATCAGTTGCTGACTCCACCAGGTCAGTTTTGCTCAAGTCCACCACTATTAGGGAGGAAACGGTGAAATCTGACCTACTGCGTTGTATTTGAGCATTATTGGAGCAGCGGGGAGAGGTCATGGGAGTATCCATGGCTCAACTTCAGTCTTAAATTTTGAAGCCACTTGCCATTGTCCACCTAATACCATTTAGTAATCAGGGTGCTTTGGAAACACCCTCTCATCAAGCTCTGGTGATGCTAAGTGTCAAATTAGCCTGTGGACCTGGCTCTGTTCTGCTACTACTGTGTCCTTGAAGTATGTAGCAAGAGCTCCACCTGCTTGTGTGTCTGCAGTTGTGTCTGCTGCTGTGGGGAGGGACCTGGGTGCAAGGTGTGAGGAAGGGCTGAACGGCTGTGCTGAAGAAGGGAAAAGCAGCGAAAATCTGTTTTGCAGCACTTGGCAAGAAATTGGAAAGAGGAGCTGCAGCGTGCATCCCCAAGACACATGGGCTTTGTGGGGAATAGAAGTGATGTCCAGAAATGGAGAACGGCTGAAATGTTTGATTTCTAAAGCCTTTATGCATCTCTGATGTTCCTGTGCTTTCTGGGTAGAAGGTTGGGGTTGGAATAGGCACTTATTTTCTGGCTGCTCATTTTCTTTTTTAATTCTTGCCCCACTGACCCAAACTCTGGGGTGCAGCAGTCTGATGCAGCAAAATCTTAGGCACTGAGTTTGCTCTGAGCTGATTTGTTCTCCAGCAGCTTGAGGAGGTGTACGAGTGAAACCTGCACATGGTGTCAAGGGTGGGGAGGTGTTTGCACCCAAATGTATGATGGGGTCTGGCGTGAGGGACTCTGACCTGGTCTCCTCTAGGGAAACAGTGCAGTGGATTCCCTGTTGAAGGCCGTCGGGCTGTGTCACCTGGGAAGGGCCTGTTCCTCACCTCTGGGGCAGTAGATGTCCTTCCACGACAACGTGCCTATGGCTGTGTTGTCACGCTCGTCATCTCAGCTGATTTTGTGCAGCTCTCTGGAGCGACAAAGATGACCCTTAGACACCAGTATACCTACCTTTCCTCTTCCTTGAGGAGTTCTGTTGCAAGAAACGTGGTTAAGATCTGGCTGGGGCAGTGTGCTGGGAAAAGGGAGATGAGGCTGAGCGTTCCCTGTGCTCCGGTCCCGCGTTGCTGTGGTGCAAAGGAGCCACAGCCATCCCTGTGCCTGCTCCCAGCTCCCTTTTCCCTGTGCGACGGGCTGCAGCTCACCACGCAGTAGCGGTAGCCCTGCCCAATCTCCAACCTTTTCCTGAAAAAGTGTCTGAGGGCTTTAACAACAGACACAGCTGGGGTTTTACGTTAAAGTTGAGTTTGCAAATGGCTCTTGGGGCTCTGGGCTTTGTTTGCTCTGGCGGCAGGTAACGGACGGAGCTGGCCGTGCTTTGTCCCACTAGCAATAAGTCTCGGTCGGAATCTCCCCTTTCCCTCTGAAAGTGCGTTTTGCGGCCAGCCTGGAGCAGGTGCGTGTTGTTAAGGTGAGTGGAGTTGGGATGTTTTGCAAACGCGTGAG